GATTATTATTTGCTCACAACATGATCTGATTTTTACACCAAAATATTATTAGACTGCATGCGTAGTTTATTCTGTTTAATGAAAGTATTTAATATAGTGAAAGATAGAACTGGTGCAGACAAACAAAACAACTGAAACTGGATAAATAAACCTTCAATGAGTAACGAAGTTATTTATCTTTTGAAAGAATATTCTGACAACAATGGAAGATGCTGAAATGTAGGTGTGGATGAAAATTTCACTCAGGTGTAGGACTGTGCTATGTAAACTACACAAGTTTAGCTCGGGGAATAGTAAGAGTTCAAATTACACAATGAGAATAACTACTGATCAGAATAGCAAAGCATTGGTGGCGCAGTGGTTAGCATGCTCGCCGACCATCCACATGATCCGGGGTTCGATCTCCTCCCCCCCCCCGACGAACTCCTTCACCTCACTTAGCCAGTAATAAGACTGGTAAAGAGGGAAGGTTGGGCACGAGGTTAGCAACCCTATCCGGTAAAATTAAACACAGCTACAGAAACAAGCCTCCAGCTTGTGGCCCTATGTTCCACTCGGAACGTGAAGGAAATAAAAGAATAGCAAAACATAGAAAACTCCAAAATCGTTAACAGTAAACTAAACACAGCACCTGCCTATTTATGAATACACAAACTATATAAGCATCGGTCAGTCTAACAAAAGATAGAAGGTGTTTAAATCGGTTGCACCACAATTTGTTTGCTTTGATTCACATTTTATATGACAGACAGATGAAATTTAATTACAGTGAAGAAATAGCTGCTCTCTCTCTTTCAATTTGAAAACTGAATATTTATGCACTGGGGAAGATTCCTATTATCTTTTTATTCTGTTTGTAAAACACATGAAGGGCTTATTTAGTACACATTTTGAAATACAGTACTGTTCATTTTCATACAGACTAACATAGTTTCAAATAATAAAGTAGTTCCATGTTATTAGTAGATGATGAATATCTTCGAAGGAAATATCGGTTGACCTGCTTTGGTTACTGATGTCTCTCTCAAAAAAAAAAACAGATTCAGCTGGATATATCAAAATGTGCTGTAGGTTGGTTGTCTTTAAAAAGTTTATGTGGACACAAAAACACAGGTGTGGAGATGAACCCAAATAAGGGATTCAGATGTTTATGAAAATGAGTTCTATACAAAATGGTGTCTATGATAATATTAGATTTCAGAGGAAATGTTACGTAAATACATATTAGTAAATATAACATTATTCTTTCTTATTGTTTTACGATAATTAATTGATTCACAGAGGCTGATATTAACATTATGCTGTCATATTCCCCAAATTTAGTTTCCAGTATGCATATAGATTTGAAAACAAGTGTTTTACTTATTGTAAGTTATATGCTTATTAATGCCCAAAATATTACATAGAAACATTTGTGTCGCATACCTGAGCACTATAAGGAATCAGTGTAACTACAAAATTGCCTAACATGTAGCTTAATGTTTATTCACCAAAATTAGATGTATGGTGTTCTAAAAAGAATTGAGATGAGTTCATTATTTTTATTATTATTGTTTCCTTTAATTCCTAGAGGAACATAAGGCTTCAGCCGCACGTCCCCATTGCATTTGGTTCTCTGCCAACGTTTTCATGCCATTCCACGTCTGCCCATATGCCTTCATCTTCTCTTCACATGACCTCATCCATGTCAACCTCGCACTGACGAACAACTCGCTGCTTCCCATTCAGGTTGCACTCGAGAGCCTAGCATGTGATGTCACTTGACGGTTTTCTTAGAGTATAGCCAATCCACCTCCATTTCTTCCTGCATATTTGTTGCACAGTCGGTTCCTGCTGGGTTGGTTCGCTCATTGCCAGAGATCCCTGTTACTGATCTTTTCTGGCCGGCCATCGGATCCCGAGTACTGAGCGAAGACAGATGTTGATGAAAGTCTGTAGTTTGTTTGAAGTGCCCTTCGTGACGCGCGAAGTCTCTGATCCGCATAGTAGCACTGGCTTCACATTGGAGTTGAAAATCTGGATCCTGTTTTTCATTCTGAGTGCTGTTGACCTCCACACAGACTTGAGAAAAATGATAGCTTGTCTTGCTTTCCCGACCCTCACTTTGATATCCTAGCCAGTTCCACCTGTAGTTGAAATGATGCTCCCCAGGGATCTTCATCAACTCTTTTTTCTCCATGTTCACCTGAAGTCCTATCTTCGATGCCTCTTGTGCGAACTTGTTGCTTTTCACTTGCATATCTTTCAGTTTGGAGGAAATCAGACATATATCATCGGTGAAGTCCAGGTCCTCCAAGTTTGAGATGAGATGAGTTCATTCATCTAATAAATCACTGATAGCCATCTCCATTAAGCAGTTTACGTATAATAATGTAACCCATATGCCTTTTGAATATATGACGGGTTTCAAGGTAGATTTCATTATGTAATCAAAATAAGTCAGATTTATGGTAAGCAATCTTCCACTTGATATAATATATTCCCCAATATAAATAAACATGTTTTCTGGGTATTTTACATCATATTTAACGTGATCTTTACTATCATGACTTCAGTTCATTCAAATTTCAACTTTAAAGATATTTTAGCGTATATCTATCTCTACATTTTGAGGCATAGTGTTAAAGGTTTATAATAAATGTTCACATTTGCAGAACGTCTGCATATGCACACACTCAAATATCTTAAGGGTTTATGAAACAGTATTGTATCATAACAAAGCATTAAACAGACACTTACTGTGACTAGTAAAGAATAGTTACAACGCATATAAATACGAACAGTCGAAAAAATGCCAATAAATGTTTAACTCTAGACGGCATCCAAAACATGGGTCATTTCAGTTATGTTTCTTTTTTGAACACAGGCGACACTACAGTTCTATAGTGATTGTTATAAGTACATATTTGTATGTATGTTTGACTGTGTGAAAATACATCTAGGGTTTTAGATGCACATTTATATGTATGGGCTTCCATCAAAGCAGTATAGATTTGGAGAGGCAAAACACCACAGCTGAAAATATACATTAAAAGTGTCACTTCACAGTATATGCATGAGGAGCTAGACAAAAGCTTGTGCTTAGTACTAAAACTGAACATGACAGATTTTAAATTCCAATAAAGGATACTAGTTTTCGTTAAATATTCGAACATATTTTCAGGCTTTCTTCACATACACTCAAAATCAAATAAGTATTTATGCAGTTTCATTACAACTACCTACCTATCTACCAACTTTTGTATTCAACCTGAAAGTTTCTGTAAGGCATTCGGAATAGAAAAATTTTATTGTTTAGAAATCCTAATAATAATAATCAGTTTTAATCTTTGTTAGCTTTCATCAACAAATGAGGGTTTCTTGTCTTCAAGTATCTTCATTCAACTGAGTCCACCATTTATTAAATCTTATATTTGTTACTAAATAAAAAATAAGTCCAAAATTCTAAATGTTCAACACGGCTAAAATATATTTCTTTGAATAAGGAAGCTGCATTCCCATCAACTTTGATGCAGACCTCATAGTGTCAACGACTAGGGTCTTAAATTGGTGGAGGGTGCATCACTTCACTTTGGGTTTGTTTAATATGCCAAGTATTCATTAGACATTAATGATACAAGCAGTGTCATATTTGATTTCACTCTGAAAATTCTTGAAAATGTTAACATAACAATTTGCTTTGATTCAAGGGACCAACCTAGATGCGAGGACTGGACTTAGTATTTCAAAATTACATGATGCTAATAAGATATTTATCACTTTAATTAAATACAAAATAAGTCTTAATCACTTCTTTACGCAAAATATGTACCATCTGTTAGCTTTTTCCGATTGTCTATCGCTGACAGATTGCCAATGGCTTCATCGTAAAGTTAACTTCTGTTTGGCTTCCTTCGGATATCATTTCCGTTCAGGACTTTAGGTTCACTGTTAGTCATGACAGTAGATAAGTGATGTTCCCAAATGTTTAACAGCAATTCCTCCAATGTAAGAAATATTCTTTTTGAAATACATTCCTGTATTATTGTGTCTTACACTGAAAAATTATACCAAATATAATTTTCCTTTTTTCATAGATTCTGTATGTGTGAGATACTGGTTCGTTATGACGTGTATTTTTAAGATGAGCATGCATATATAACTGGTCAGTTTAAACCACTAAATGTACAGTTACACTGTGGATGTTTCCTTATAGTAAAACTAACCACATAGTGTTGATAATTTCATCCTTAACATTCAAAAAAAACTAAAATCAATCGTCTTCTGGAGTTATAAATTACCTTAGGTCTCTTATTATAAGTATCAGCTTACTTTGCTTCATTCCCAAGTAATCTGTAAAGCACCAATAGCTTTCAGAAGCCCACTTGTGGAAAGTACTTCATATCATAACTATTAGACCGGCAATACCATTTTTCAGTTTGGTGCTAGCTGATTACAGTTTATGAAGTAACTGAAAACTGTGGTTCGTTCCCACTTAAGTAAGCTTTTAAATGATATACAGGCTTAGCTCGTTAACTTACTCTGTTCTCTCTTAGGCCTTAATGAAGATGCGTCTCATTTATTTGATGTCAGCAGGTCCATGAGTTTGCAGATTTTCATCGCCCTGATACTTAAATGACAGTATCAGTTATAGGAAAAACAGTGTCATTATAGTTCGAAATAGTCTTCAATAATTTTCATTTGCGTGTTAGTCATTACTTAGAAATTTTCGGAGTACTTTTTCAGTTGATAAAATAATTTATTCACTAATTAAATGCAGTATGCTTTCTTATTCTTTGTTACATTCTTGGCCTAGACAACAGTGTTGTGTGAAGTAAAACTGTGAATATTTGAAAGCTTGTAAATCAAACAAAGCTCATTTCGATATCATTAAATACAAACTGTAGACAAGTTTGTACATTTTTGACTTGTTGTGATTGATTTCATCCATCTTCCAATTACTAGTTGTTCTAACTTTATTTTTTTCAACATTTCTTTTTGTTCTTTGTTCTCGAATATAGTTCCACCAACCCAAATTCACTACAATGTCTGATTACGGATGGGGACATTCCGGAGTTAAATTTCGAAATCATACTATTGCTTCACTCAAACCTAACCGCTTCTATGAATTCGGATTGAATTTGATCTATGAAAACAGCACCTTTGACCGGTTCCCGAAGATTGGGTCAAAAGACTTATGTACATGTAAAACATACCGTAAGTACTGTCTAATTTATCTATAAAACGCCGTCAAAATTTTTATAACTTTTTAAACTAGACAACAAATTAACCTGAAATTTATTGTAAAAAAGGTTTTTTTGTATTTTCCAATGAATGAAAAACAAAACGATATTGTTTTTACTAACGTTTCGCTATTTTAAATGCGAATAGCTTCATCATAACCTGAAATTTATTAGAGTTATACTGCAGGAGAACAGGTACTGTGTTAATTTTTTCATTATTACGCTTGTATCATAACCATCCAGTGTTTCAATTGTAGTTTTCACTAATAATGAACAGTTAAATTACTGAACTATTAAATTTCCCATTAAGTGAAGTTCATTAAATTTACTGCATTTCATATTTCCACATAATGTGATGAATTATTTAATCATCATATGTAAGAATTGCTAGTTCTATGACACATTTTCATTTATTTCAATTCCTGAATGAAAATTTCCTCATATGAAACAACGATCTTTACATTTTACTAGTATAGTAATGACTTCAAAAAAATGGACACATTTGTGTAACTTGAGGCGATGTTAGTAATACTAGTCCAGTTTGTAACTCAACTGTCAACAAATGAGTATAGGAAAAAAAATAAGGAACGATAAGTGAACTTATCCGCTTTAGTATAATTCAATTGAAACTGAAAAAAAAAATCAGAAAATTTCAATGCATACTTTTTCAAAATTTACATTTTTCAACCCGTGCTAGGAATAGATATGCTATCCACGTGCATCTACCTAATGAACATCTCTTAATCATGCCTAGGTAAAGAAAATTCTCTGCTATTCAAAAGATATGCATACATAAAAATGGAAAATTGTTCGATGGACTAAGTTAATTAGGCTCAAATTCCAATTTTTGAGTATTTTATAGTAAAATATTTTGTGTAGCTTTCTCAAAACTGACTACTTTTCCCAGAGGCACAAATTAGTGATTATTCACAATTCCGTTCATCTCAAAAAAGTAAAGACACCTAAAACTGTTTTCATTTACCATCAGAAACATAGTCGATAGTTTAGTGAGTTTCATTCTTGTAGACTGTTTTGTTAATAGGCTGTCATCTCCATTGATGACCAAATGTCTGAAGGTTTATAAATTTCAATTGATTTCATTCTTCTAATCCCACTAAGCATACCTAGAGGTAAAAAGATAGAAGAGTAAGAGAGAAAGGGATTTAATGTTATAAAAATACGATATAACTAGACTTCATCAGGGAAGCTATCATGTTTTACCATCAGACCTACTTGTTCATACACCCTTGTATCACTTTCGTCGAATGGAATTCAGGCTTCTTTTGAGTGAACGCAAAGAAACAGTTTTCACGAGTAAAGTAGCAAAAGTTTGTTAAAATACTGGACACTCTTCTTTTTTGAGTTTTCAGGATAACCAAGTTATATGAATTTGGATTTTGCTTCACCTAAACGACTTTAGAAGCACAAGAGGATAATTTTTCCTACTAGACGATAAAATCTATTTCTCTAACTTTTGTACCTGAAATAAGCTTTCAACAGAAGCAGGCATTCGTGAAGACTACACTGCTTGAAGTGTTTACAAAAATTGGGAGAAACACACTGATTTCAAATTACTAATTCCTACAGTTAAATTGACTAAATCAAAGAATGGCTAGACAAAGATGAGCTTTATGTCAAAAACAAACGCAGCTTCAAGTGTGTCCACTTAGGGTGGCAGCGTAAGCAATAGCCATCGTCAATTCGTGCCAGATAATGCCATGAAGTGCATTTTCTACTTCGAAAATTCTCTAAGAAACAATCAGCAACTAGAGATGGAAAGTAAGGCCTGTATTGTTGATTCATTTCGACACTCTGCTGCATGGTGATTTACGAAAACCACTTTTTCAGTACACGTTCAAGAAAAATTGATGTGCCCGATTTTCTAACGAAATTCGGTAGATTTTTATACACCGGCCTCAAGAAACACCAAATAATAGGAGAAAACTTCTTTGTAGCTAGCCTCTTAGAATTTAACTACACTACACAGTCATCAGAACAGCTGACTTCGTTAAATAACATGCGTTTACAACATAATTCAACCTCTAGCATACAGACAAATCTTAACCTGTAGAAACCCGTTTTTTTCATTTTTGGCTTCCAAATAAATCAATATGGTAAAATAAAACTGACTAACTCTGTGGTATTTTTTCAAATTAGCTTTTGTATCAAAATATTTAAGTAAACCACTTAGTGTTAAAATTGAAATGAAATCTTTGTCAACTTAAGAAAATTTTCAAGTATTGGTTTTGTAGGGATTTTGTTTGATTGGATGGATGATTTCATCATCAGCCCATGTTACTTAGAAAACTATTGGAAAGCCAAGGAGTTTCTTCCTAATGTGGGACCCTTCGTCAGTAGGGTGCAGCAGGTTGAAGGTGAGGCAGTAACTCATCGAAGAAGACATTGCGAAGTGGTCGCGCTATGTCACGAATTGGCAGAAGTTAGAATCCACGGGCTATTGGATCGGGACACCAGTGGCTTAATAGTCTACGAGCTCACCTTTTAACCAGGAAGCTTTGGGTTCGAACGTTTGTGGTGGTTACGTGTTGAAGAAGAGTCTCAAACCGGGACGAAACAGCTGTCCAGTCCTCCCTGCAGGTTTTCCACTGGTTTTCTAACTGATATTAGCTCATGATGAAATCCGCCAACCAATCAAAAAAAAATTCTTTCGAGGAAATGAAGTACTGATAATTGAATTTCAACTTCCGTTTTCAGCTGATGTACCTGATGTACCATTGAACCTACGGTACCATTATATTCAAGGCAATCAGTATAATCTAGAATGGACACCAAATAATGATAACGGTGAACCAATATTCACCTACAATATGAAATCCATGTAAGTTACCTCTTTTAAATGACTGCTGCTAACTGAAATTTTTTAATATATTTATTCGTTGAAGTTTCTGTAGCGATTTGATTGTTTTACAGGGGTGGAGTTGCTAGCACCACGCCCCAACCCTCCCTCTTTACCCGGGCTTGGGACCGGCGAGAAGACTAGTGATCTAGTAGCCTAGCAAGCTAGTATCTGGTGAGGAGAAAGTGGAGATGGATCGGACACTCGCTGAGGAGACCGCTGGGTGACATCGCGCGTCAGGCCCTCGAGTGAAACCCGAAAGGGAAGCGGCGCGTGGGACGTCCAAGTGTGACATGGAGGAGATCGTGCGAAGAGAAGTTGAAAGAGTATGGACTAACATGGATGCAGGTGAAAAGTACAGCAGAAGACAGAAGCAAATGGAGACGTGTAGTTGAAGCCCTATGTTCCACTAGGAACCCAAGGGAGCAATAATAATAATAAACTGAAATAAATAATTTCCTATAAACAGTGGATGATAAATTCCTTTCGTAGTGCCTTGTAAACTGACTCTGTTATTTCCAATTAAAAATATTATTTATTTCTACTCATTGAAGATTATTTTTTGTTTGTAATAACACGGAAATAATGTCCGTTTATTACGCACTTTACATGGTTGTAAATGCAGACACTGATGTATACTAGAAAATGGATAATGCTTATAAATTACGGAAACATCTGGAAAAATAAAGTCAGGTAAACTTACAACCGATATCTAGGATGGAAAATTTCATACAGTTTGCCGTCAATTTTAATAATAATAATAATAACAAAGAAAACTACAGTTGATGTTGTGTATTTCTTATTGATATATTTCACTCACAATTATAGAAACATGTATATCTACATAAGGAGATAAAAAGTTGCAAAATACATCGAAACTGTGTTGTATTATGTGCACACTAATTTTTGCTAATGGTAGTACTTAGTGAAAGCATTGATCAGTCAAATAACACAAAAATTATAGGTACATAAAGAATCTACTATAAATGTATGCAGGTGTATCGAGTTAGTGAAATATTTCTAAAAAATGTATTGCTTTCCTGTAGTTCTAGGCCTTATGCAACACAGTTGTTTTGATGCTCAGAAACAGGCGAATAATAATGCATAGAAAATCTGTGTAAAGACGCCAAACATATTCTCAATAGTACGCACACGCTATCCGTATCAGTAAGCATCCACGAGGAAATTAATTTTGTCAGTATTGCTTTAATTACTTTGATTTATCAGCACTATTATTTTTATTGACTAGTTAATCATCAGCTGAACAATTTACTCACTATCGACTGGTGACCATACTATCTGCTTTTGCTCAAAATCAACACAAGGGATACTAGGATGTCCTGAGTAAGGATAAAAGTGTTTTAAATGTTCATCCGTAATCAAATTAACCGCTGTTTGATTGGCTTCCTAAATCTGTTTACTGATAGGTAACTGTTACTTAACTCGTTAGACATACAAACTTTGGTTTACTTTTATTACCCGTCTTGCATTGTATTATTGTTTTATTTCAGCAGGAAATACAAAATGACTAACAATTTAACGAGAAATATAATAATAATTATTATTACTCCCTTGGGTTCCTAGTGGAACATAGGGCTTCAACTACACGTCTCCATTCGCTTCTGTCTTCTGCTGTACTTTTCACCTGCATCCATGTTAATCCATATTCTTTCAACTCCTCTTCACACGATCTCCTCCATGTCACCCTTGGACGTCCCACGCGCCGCTTCCCTTTCGGGTTTCACTCGAGGGCCTGACGCGCGATGTCACCCAGCGGTCTCCTCAGCGAGTGTCCGATCCATCTCCACTTTCTCCTGCATATTTGTTGGGCGATTGGTTCTTGTTTTGTTTGTATGTTACCATAGTTCCTTGTGGGTGATTCTTTCCGGCCATCTGATCTCCAGTAGAGAGCGAAGACAGATGTTAATAAAGGTCTGTAACCTTTTGGAAATATTCTTCGTGACCCTGCAAGTTTCCGATCCGTATAGAAGAACTGACTGACTTGACGTCTGTATTGAAAATCCGACTAGATTTTTGTTGATACTGAGTGACGAAGATTTCCAGATTGATTTTAAGTTGATGGATGTGTTTCTCGCCTTCTCGACTCTCGATTTGACATCGTCGTCCGTTCCCACTCCCTGTAGTTGAGACAATGCCCCCTAGATAAATGAATGGATTAACCTCTTTCAAATCCATCCCGTTTATCGTGATTGGCGCTGGATTTTACTGCTGTTGTTGTTGCTGGTTGGTTATTTTCATCACCTCCGCCTTGTCTATTATCACTTGGAGTCCTGTCTTTGCTGCTTCTTCGACCGGTTTGTCGGTTTTTGCTTGTAAGTCTTCGATTTTGTGTGGCTTCAAACATAAATCATCTGTGAAATCCAGGTGATATAATGTCAACCTATAAAGATCTGCACTTAAATCACTATCTCAGTTAGTGTAAGTAAACCTATGAAGTTGACGATTAGGCTTATTATTGTCTTTCAGTAAACTTTATTTGCCTTAAAATAAGTCTATTGTTTTGTGGCTTTTAAAAAATCACGATTGTCATTGCACAAGGTATTTACTGTTGTTTTAGTTTTGCACAATACAATTTAATATGACTTTGGGAAATAAGGAAAATAACTTGTGATTCATCAGTGACTTCTTAGCATATTAGACCGCTTCGTCCACTATACTGAACTAAAATATTGCAAACATTGTAGTCGTAATAATGACAAGGTCCACTTTGCATAGCATCTTTTGATACACAGTAGGAAAAAACATATAACACCACGAAATAGCTTTGGTGTTTTCATCAAAGTATTGCCGATTTCAAATAAATGGAAAGTAAGAAATCAGTAGAAAGAAATAATTCTATCAGTTTGTATCTATTAAAGTACTAGACACATTACATTGATTACTAACTAGCGTAGAATCAGAGTCTCCAATACAGTCCCATTAGAGGTCGATCGCTAGACCGAATAGGTGAGTAAGAACATCTCCGTTTGATACATTAGGTGAAAGGGTTTCGAATGTCAAAAGGGATATGAGATAATTCAGGGTTGTAGATACAAACTGCTGGCAAGTGCCAACTAGCACTAAAACTAGGTCGGTTAGGACTTCCTGCCGATTGCATCCAACCATCTAATACACCTAAATATCGTATAGTGTAGCTTTATAAGTAAACCAATGTAACGAAGGTGTTGAACGTAGGGTAATTTATATTCAGTATTGGAGTTTATCTGATAACGTTTAGTCTAAAGCAGAATCTTCTTATTACCTCGAGCAGCTGGAAATATAACACAGAGTGAACATGAAAATAAAAGAAACTATTTAGTAGTCCATATCAGTAACACGTAACTGTAGAATAAGCCATAAATCTTCCAATTACGATAGCATGACAGCATTCTATTTCAAGCTGATAGAATATTTTACTGGAATTATGTGACAAACTTTCACTTATTTGTTAATAACGTTAGGGATATATTCATAATAGCACGCCTAAATATAATGATAGTTGTACAAAGGTTGTGATGATAGTACCAAATGTTGCTACCAACATAATTGAAGTATGATTAGTCGTGTTGTTGGCAGTTGTTGCAGAAATAATAATACTGTTCGTTCTCGTGAATTTGCTTCTCTCGAAGAGTTTCTTCTTATTTGGATATCTATATTCACTGACCACTGGAAAATACTGTCTATTGTCTTTCTTTGAACAAAGCCATTACAAGAGGTGGGGCAGGATAAAACGGATCCATTTCATCACAACTACATACAACCACAATCATGAGAGTTGACGGTCACTACAAATTATTTGGAATAATTCCAGCGTGTTTAGGAAAACATCAAAATAAGATTTTTCTGAGTGTTTCGCCGTGTGAGCCACAGCTTCTTCAGCAGAATTATTCCGATTTTATTAACCATAAAAATGTATGGTCAAAAATTACATAAATTGAGGTGAGTTCCTTTGAAGGTCACCTGTCGGTAGACATTTGTATCAATGGAAAAATGTAAGTGGTCATCACATATTTGTAATGACTAATGTAAAATTGTCATTTATGCATATTTGTCTGTGTGAGTGTGTGTATATGTTGTTTGTTGTATGGGTAACAATTGAATATTTTTCCCTCATCTGTTTTACTTCATTAGAGTCTGTTATATAGGTGATAAGTCTATCTATTCTCTCCTATTTACTGCTTTTTGTGTGGCAAAAATATGCAAGGCTTCAGAAGTCAGTCTTTCTTTATGTGGATAAAAGCCTCTTGCTAGAATTTCGACATTTTCAAAATCGATCTTATGTCCACTGCCTATAGCATGCATTGCTATAGCTAATCTTTTTCCCAAACTATTTAATTTTAATTCATTTCTAGGAGGACGTTTCGTGATCAGCCTGTGCTCATTCACTCTGACCTTCACCTGTCTACTGCTCTCCCTCATATAGCAAGCTTCACATTCTGAACACTTTATCCTATGGACAGAATTACCTTGTGATATTTGGATAACCAGATCTTTGACATTAACCAAAGCTTTCGCCAGAGAATTAGAGGGCTTGAAATAGAATTTAATACTATATGAAGGAAGTAGTTTTTTGAAATATTCTGCTTTGCCTCCTTGTTATGGAATAGCTATCTTCGATAACCAATTTTATGTTCTCCCTTCTATTCCTTTTTATTGATAATATTATTTAGCAGCTTTTTCGAATAACTACTCCCAATCAAAATTTATTTATTAAGAAAGCTGAAAAAAGGAAACTTTCTAACACGGGTTACTTTCATCTCTAAATAAACAAAATTTACTAATGAAGTAGAATCGAAGGAGGGAACTCTAAACTTTCTGAGTGGTCTTGTAAAATGACAAACTTACGATAAACTAAATTTCATGATATACAGGGAACTGAGGCATTCAAACAAATATTTAAATTTCTAATCAGATCATCCAATAAAAATGAAAGTTCCAGCAGCTTTAAATCTCTACAAAAAAGGTAGAAACATAATAATGGA